TTTGTCAGATTATATAATACGAGAACGCGCGCATGGTGTCTCTACKTGTTTTTTTTTATTCCATCCTGCCTTCCCACAGTTATTCCAAAGGTATAGTTGGTTGAATTATTAAATWATGCGATATTATGTYTACAACACTGAACCAGCATCTGCATATCGGCACACAAACAGTGTTTGAGATTTTGGGRGGCTGAAGCTCAGGTTTATAATGGACACTTTGTTGACACTATTATAATGTGTAGATGTATGCATGGCATAGAGCTAAACAAAGTTTAGGGGAGCTTGGTGGGCCCCTCCCCCTCATTTGCGGCTATGCATATCCGTACAAACGGGATGCGTTTAAGTGTGTATATATTGCGAGCGAATTAGCARACTCGTTTGTAGTTTTTTTAAGTTTGTTATAAGATATGTATAATGTATAATTCATTTATTTTAATTTGGGATTCAATCAATTATAGCACATCCAATACTAATATTAAATAAACCKACTTGAAAACTTTAAATGATAACTTTCAACTTATAATTTTTTAAATATATACTAGACTACTAGAGCCTCAGTTCTCACTTGCACACGAGTCGATTACACCAACCTAATCGAATTGCACTAGTGTCGAATCTAATCCGCTGTAGGTCCATCCATATTCCATGTATCGATTTTTACTGGATTTGGTCGATAGTTAAACAAATACCCTTCAACAGCATTTTGATATTCCGAAAAACATCTCTTGACGTTAAAGGAGAAAACCAAAAACAATGTATCATATTAAGAATTTCAAAGGTTTACARCGATTCTTGTCTCAGGACTTGATGGTTGATACTCGAGGAACTACAAAGCCCAAACATAATAAATATCATAGCAAAATAAATTATAATTGTTGATCTTAATAATATAATTTTTCCCTGAATAGTATATTGACCATCGGTGCGTTAACGACTATGAAATTTATAAATATTTCTTTGTTTATTTTATTAAAAATACAAAATGTATCGCTTAGATATGTTTTACAACTACTATTTACTAAGCTATCGAATATCTGACTAGGTTTATTCTCTGTCAGATGTATTTCCGATAAATCGAGGTTTACCTTACACCAGCAAATACTAGCTAATATATAATTTAAATATATTAAAATACGTGCATTGGTTACGGACGCGGTAGTCCTACAGGACATAACTATTTACCTATGCATAGTAGGCGTCGCTGCAGTTTATCTACCTACCCATAGTGCACAGCGTTTATACGTATACGTAAATGTTCGACAATACGACTGTATTATATCTATGTAATATCTTTATAATGCTAGAGCAATCGTGCTGTATATGCGAGTTGTCTCTGCCCGTGTGTACTTATGCATAGGTATAGGTGTACACGTGTACGATCGATAACTATAAATAAAATAAAATACCAACAAGAATCCGTATAACCGTATCCCTAATGTATATAATATTTTTATGCTGATAAGGGTGATAAGCCGACCGGTAGACAGATGAAAGAGATTAGACCCTATGTCAGGTCCTATTCGGGGTGGGGCGTTGCAGTTGTCATTTGCAGTCACAGACGAGACGACTACAATGTCTGCAGACTCAATAGAGGCTGCCTTTGAAATTTTCAAAAGCAACACTATGCTGGTAGACAATAAATAAAAACCATATGCTTAAATTATTAGTTTGTAATAAATAATCAGTGGTTGAATTGGGGGGGGGGCGCAGGAGGACTGAGCTACTCTTCATTTTTCTTCATATTATTGCGTACCCCTTTATTCTATTCATCAAAGAACGCAGGGGAACGCAGCGTCCTTCGACATTTTTATGAAAATAAATTTGTTTCATAAAAAAATTAAATAATTACAATAAAATATTGGAAACGACTAATATTCAATTTAATTTTTGGTATTATATTTTAAATCTGTATATTAGCATATATTAGGAATGCAATAATATAATATTATATAATATTATACTTATACAGTTATACAACACGTTTCAAATGTTATCACCACATATTAAAGGCAAAAGGATTCTACCGCCACCGCTGCAGTGTGTGTGGACCTTGATTCGTGGTATAAGTACTTACCACGACGGCCTCTTAAGAGCTAAAAATATAATATAACGTTTAGGAAAATTCCMGAGTGTGCCGGCGATAACGAATAACGATCTATTATAGTWGATCACTGACAATATCTAATAAATAATAATATAATATAGAGTCCGTATTTCGAGAATCGACGACGATTGACGAATGACGATCGTTTTCTACAAAAATTAAATATTATTTATATTTAATTTGGAAACAGCCATTAATCGGTATGACGGTATTATGTTAGCTTGTTACTGTTGTAACGTTYCTGCACGTCACGTCGGCGCTAAAGAGTTAAACATTAAACTACTTATACAGTTATACAGCTATACTTTATTTTATAAAATTATAAACAAGTGAATGGAGAGTTTATTCATTAAACGTCAAAAATTCTCCATAGTGGATTTCTTCAATAAAAAGAAGAAAAATGACCAAGGTAATCTAAACATTTTAATTAAACAATAATTATAATGATCATTATAATAATATAATATATTTAATAAATGCCCAAACTCCAAAAGCATTATAGTAATATTATTATTATTATATCTCAATGCACTAATATAATATTTAAAACTATAGATATTAATGATAATCAATACATCGAACACAACGAACAGAATGTCGATGATCCAGATATCCCCAAGACTGCAGGTATGTAATAATATTTTAATTTTTAAATAAAAATTAAGATCAACATGATTTTTAAATGAAAGTTTAGAATCAAAATCATATTTAACTTTAACATTATAATTATTGACTTAAATGTAATCAGCATGTATTTTTTTTCAGTAAATAATGAAGACTCCATTGCTGTTAACAACAGTTTATATCAACCAATTGAATTTACAAGAGATGATGACACTCCTGAATGTTGGGACTCAAAACAAGCAAAATACTTTTGTGAAGAGTATCCATGGCTGTATTTCAAAAACAAAAAGTTGGGTCGTAATATATGTTGTAATGTAAATTTAAATCTTAATAAGAATCAAGTATCTCATGTGCATGTTTCATCAAACTGGATTCAATGTGACATTGTTCCATCTGGAAATAGTATATCCAAACAACAAGCTAGTTTGAGGAAAAAGATCTCCAAGMATAAGTGTAGTCAATCACATATCAGTGCAGAGAACATAATTCATCGCATGAAGCTAGAAACTATGGATCTACAAATTATAAAAAATAATAAATTACAATATGAAAGTACAGATAAAATATTTAGAACAGCTTACTTCATTGCCAAAAAATCAACGTCCATTTCTAGATATGCCTAAATTAATAGACCTACAAGTTCTCAATGGAGTTAATATGGGTCGAGTGTTACAAACCAATAAATCTTGTGCTAATATTGTTGACCATATTTCTAATGAAATGAGGCTTAAAATTTGCAAAGATATTATTGAAAATAATAGAAAATTATGTATTGTTGTTGATAAGTAAACTACATTGAGCAAAAAAACAATGTTAGTTATTTGCTTAAGATGTGCTAATGGTGATTCTCAAGACATTAATATTTTTTTTTTTTGATATTATTGAGTTAGACTGTACTTCAGCTGAATCAATTAAAACTGCTATAATCAACAATATGTTAAAACATGGAATCAAATTAGATTTTTTAAAACAGAATCTAGTTGGATTTGTTAGTGATGGAGCTTCTAACATGCTGGGAAGAAAATCTGGAGTTGGTGTTTTACTACAAAAAATTTTTCCTGACCTCATTATCTGGTATTGTTGTAACCATAGATTGGAACTTGCGGTAAGTGATACTATTAAAGAAGTTCAAGGTCTTAATCACTTCCAATGTTTTTTTGAAAAACTTTATTCATTGTATCACCAATCTCCCAAAAATATGACAGAACTTAATGCATGTGCTGCATCTTTAGAAAGCAGAATTTTAAATATAGGAAAGATATTTACAATTCGGTGGGTGGCATCCAGCTTTAGAACAGTACGTGCAGTTTGGAATAACTATGTTGCTCTCCATAAACATTTTCAGAAATCTTCTATTGACTATAAAAGAGATGGAAAAGAAAGRTCTAAATATTTAGGTCTAAATAATATGTTAACATCAAAAGACTTTGTATTCAATTTAGGTATGTTATATGATGTATTAAATGAATTATCTGATTTGTCATTACAACTGCAAAAAAGAGATTTAGGTTTGGCAAATGTGGCACGCCATGACGTGGACTTATCAGTTAGAAATAGTATAGCTAAATTATTAGGGTTTATAAATGTACTATACACTACTGGTGTTACTTATGAATCTGAATATATTGTCAACATAATGAAAATCAACAGTATAAAAGTAGAATGCAACTTAGTTACTGGCTCATTCTGTGACGGTGCACCGAGCCAGGCTATACACGAGCTTTATCCATCTGAACCTGCAGGGTATAAAATCGTTGAAGTACCTACATCCAGTTTTTTATGCTCTCAACACGAGATCAGTAACTAGAGTAAATATCGCGCTAAAAGATCAGAACGACTGTCTTATTAATCTTCGCGGTGAACCAATAACAGCCTTCATACCAGCCATCAGTCGAAATGGATTAGAGTGATGATGGAAATAACGAGCAACTCTATAGACTTTCAGACAAGTATGAGGTAGTGATTATGACGAAATTAATGAGTTGTATCAATAAATAATATTTTTATATAGGTACCTGAATTATTATTTATACCTGTACAAATATAATATTTTAAATCTGAACACAAATATGTTAACGGATGGTAAACACGTTCGTGGTATATTTTATTACAAATGTGATAATATATCWTATAAATAATGAATGATAACACAAATATGATAACATATTRGGTACATGTGCTGTAATAGTTAAATGTGACGGGGTGGCGCAGTGGTACGGCGGTCGCTAACAGGCTCGGGTTCGAAACACRGACGGACGAAAAATKTTTTTACTTATTTTCCCCGGGTGGCGGCCATATGGTGCCCGCCGCCGGCGGCGTTGGCTGGTGGGGGTACGTGCGCGACCGGCGGCAGGATCAGCTGCYACGTGTCAGGGATCAGCTCGAGAGCATAGGAATCAGCCAGCAGGATCAGGTTCCAGAACTGTCTTTTTCRCTATACTCGTATTGAAATTAAAAATTAAAAAATCAATCAAAAAAATATTTTTAGCATTAATCACACTAGCAGACTAGCTCATCTTTCTGTAACGACACGTATTTTAAAAGTAAAGGTACTAACAGTATTTTTATTTTGATGCCTGCAATTGATTAATATAAATTCAGTCTAATTTTAGTAATAGAAAAAAAAAATGCCCGTGACTAGAAACGACGAATATTATGTAACTGTGATAGATTCGGATTTAAACCAATGTAGCGCAGTGTTTTATACACGTTTGCGACTAGGACCGCAGTGGGAGAACAACACCGGTGATACCGAACCCGAGTAAAAATACTATTATTATAGGGCTGCATCAACGTTTTTGTATCAAAAAATCGCTGTGCACACAGCGGAGAACGGTAAGACATATAATAATTATATATCACACATGTGAATCAAACACGGGTAGGACGGGAAGCGAGGAAACAAGAGAGACGGATATATTATAGTTAGATAGAGAGTGACAGAGGGATATTTATTATTAGATAGAGTGGAAAAGCACCTCACGCGTGCTCGTCGAAGATCGCATTTGTCGCGTCGTTCGGTCGCGTGAAATCCTCGTGTAAATGATCGTGTCCGGAGATAGTCGATAGCCGGCGACGCCGCCGCAGCCGAGGTGAGTACTCACACACATATTATATTATATATATATATATTGTAAATATATTTTATATACATATTATGTTTATGTATAGAGTATTACTTATACACGTATACCCAAGTGTCGTATCGACGTCGCCGCCGCCGCGTGTACTGTGCAGACAAAATGGTACTTTCAAGATTTCCATCGCACCCCGCTGCCGCCAATAACTCACAATAATATCTGGCTACCATATCGTTTATTGCTTGTTAACGTTTTTTTCCCCTCTTTTTTCTTTCGTCTTTTTTCGCATTTATATCCATCCTATGACCATAAGCCGGCGGCCGATCTTTGTATACGATATAAGTTCAACTCGCACGCGCGAGCGCGGACCACCTGACAAAAGGCGTCATAAAAAACGGTCGTGGACATCGCGTGCTGCAGATACGTGCAATACGCGTAGGTATACGCGAGTGGCTTTCGTTCGTTCGTTCGTATTATTTTTTATTATGTCCCACTATCTCTATCCGACGACCGGCTCTGTTCGGCGTTTGTTCGAGTCTGGTGGACTGTGAACAAATATATATCGACAGGGGTCCGGACGCGGGAGGACTGGGTCACAAATTTTCCCCGCGTGTATTATATTTTATATTATTTTATGRGTGTATAGGGAAACCATCGCACGAGCGAATTATCACAATCGAGTTTTTTTTATTTATATTATTTTTGCGATATGTATACATAGTATAACGTAGTATAGGTATACGAGACGCGAACAATTCTGCGGCTGCGGCAGAGGTCAACGAGCGTCGCCGATAACTATCGGTTGAAAAAAATATAATAATAATAATAATAATAATAATAATAATAATCACACGTTTATCCATATTATCCACAGCGTTTATGTGTATATATAAATATTATATATATTATTTATTATTATTATTGTACGCGACGAGATATGACGTCTGGTCCGCAGAAAACCTATACGGATATTTAAACACTCCGCCGCGTACATCTACTTGCATATTATATGTATATGTATAGAATTATTATATATTATATTATTTATCATTTGAACCCATATGTGGCAAACKCCATGTTTAAAATAATCGGACACCCTCATAAATTTRAGAAAAAAAAATTGCGAATCGTTTTCCGCAGTCCGTTGCCGAGATGTTTATAAACCTGGCGTTATAATTTGAGCATAATAGTACGGTAAACATAATATATCAACGTTCCTAATGAGACCAGACAAGACATTCTCGTATATAATAACAATAACGATTTGCTGAATAAATATATGATATTCACGCAGTATCATACCCGTATATTACATAAACTTAAATTCAAAACTGATACTTAAAAGAAATGTTTTAGTAGATRATGGTACCTACCTAATAACATTCGAGACTATTTGATGTATAGTAAAGGCGGACATTAAAGATGTTAAACATAATAACCGTGTATATAAGTAGGTACTGGCTGTTTTTTAAACACATTTATTTATTTAATTGCTGCCATTAAAACGTTTAATAAGATCGGAAGCACGATAATATTTAAATCGTTTGGTATCTACGTACAGAATGTGTATACGACATACGTTAAAAAAAAATATTATTTTTTTTACTTTCAGTTAGGTCACCGTATTTATTTTTTAGTCCGATGGCGATATTAATATAACAGTAACACTGTATGATTTACGAGTGTTATCTTAAGATCTGAAATCCAAACAAAACAATTTCGCTACTCTTAGAGCTATTAACAAAACATTAACGAAAAAAMATCTTAAGCACGTCGTTAGATGAATACAAGAATGCGCGTTATACACATAGGTACCTGCATAATAAAACTATGCAGACGGGTTGAGATTGAATGAAATATTAAATGAATGAATAACGTAGAAGATTATTCGACGGGCGTGTTATTATTACGTTCATAGGCGCGTTTGCCGTATCATTATAAGTATATCAGAAGTCRTCCATTAAGTATACAACCGTGCAATTTATATCAAGTAAATTATTTTTAAACGACCAGTGAATGGGACAATTAATAAATAGATAAATATTGAACATGGGTAATGTTACAAATTGTAACGTGTACCTATTATAATATTTATAATAGCATACAAGCATACAGCGCGTATAATTAGGTGTGTAACAAGGTGTTTGTAGAATGTAATTGGTACGTTTAATTTCTGTATAAACGGATCGTTAAGCGTAGGGAATCGACCGATTTCCTAAATTCGAACTATCAATTATTAAGCAGTAATAATATATATATTTAACGTTGTTACTGTAAACTGTGAAAAACAAAACCAGTTTTCTGAGAATTATTTTCTCGGCGATCATTTTTTTTTTTTTAAATGAGTGGAACAATTCTGTAGCAACATATTATTTTTATTATTATTCAGTATACGTTTTTATAATAATACACGTAATACCTATTATCGTTATAGGAGACGAGCTACTGTAGCTGAGCGTCCACACCCAATACCCACCTCTTAACTTTAAGTCATCAGAAAAAAATACAAAGCTGTATAGTATGAATGCATAGTTATTATTCTAACCCATAATAAACACTAAACACATAATAATTTTCTCGATGTACTATGATTACATCAGAGTTATCAAAGACAAAGTGCCCGTGGCTAGAAACTGCGAATATCATGTAACCGTGATGGATTTGGATTTAAAACAATACAAATTTAGAGCGTGATAACAACACAAAAAGGTATATCAACAACTCCTAAACTTTATTTTTATACTTATAGATCCGATATTTACATATATAAGTATTTTCACACTATTTGCTCAGTCGGAATTTTTATAGAATGAGTTGTATAGAAACAGTTGTATAGAATTTATTTGAATAGATACTTTAAATAAAATACATTATTTAAACATCCCGGATAAAACGCGGTCGGGAAAGAGYAAAAACTATTGACCCAAACATAGACAAAAATAGATTAGAACTTATTTACAAACTATAATTAATATTTAATAGCAAACCATACAACAAATGTAGTATGCTATAAAATATTTATAGGAATCTAATCATAAAAATGAACATTTTAAATTGTATGGAGGTATCTACCCTTAACTCTCAAGCTCCATGATTTTATGTGCGTATTATACGATACAAAAGTTTATGATAGGTTATCAGTGTAGGATAATAGTTTCACTAACTTCATCAACACTTTTGGTATTTCAATCACCCACCTAGCTGTTAACTCCTTTTAGATATTTATKATATATAGTTCAAGTATTTGATAATATTATAATGTAACAGATTATCATTTTTTATTGTTGTTAATTTTAAGTCAATTTCAGGCTTAATATTATCATTGTGTATTATAGTTTATTTATTTTTTATTGATCATTTACAACTTCGGCAACAAAGGCCATTAGTTATTTTATTTTTTACATTACGTTTGCTTACATGTTTAGATTTGGTTTATTTATTTTATTTCAATAATTCATGAATATTATAATTATTATTATACAATAGTTTTTGAAATGTTGGGTTTTAGAAAATAAATAAAAATAYGATTGCAATAAATTATAGCTAGGTTATTAGATATCTGTTTAAATAGTGCGTAACTACCTAATACATACACACGGAAATTATTATTTTCTTCAAAATTGTACAGTTATTATTTTTTATGTAGGTACGTATAGATTAGGTAAATAGTAGTTAATAGTGTGTATGTATAGGTATGTACGCACTATTTAAAAATATATCTATTATATCTATTACTAATCAGTATACATTTTTCATAAGCGCTCACAAGGGGTGGTCATCATAGTCAGGATAGATGTTCACTACTCACTACTCAGTGATCAATTCTTTTAGGMCATAGGGTTTGAGGTGTAGAGGTACCTACAAGATTATTACTTTATAAGTAACTACCTATATGATATAGATATTAGGTGAAGAATAAAGGTTATAAATAACTATAAATGTCTAWAATATACCTAATTTATAATAATAAAATATATTTTATACTAAATTCCTAACTTTTAACGTTGGATTTGGAACAAATTACCAGTTACGAATTAAAATTGTTCTCTCTGAATTTTGGAGTTATAAGTTAAAACGGATATTACAATTAACAATACAAAAATTTAAAAATGTTGATTACCTACAAACACATACCTAGGTTATAATTATTTAATTATAATTATTCTACATCAGACAACCTGAAAAACTACGGAACACGTTTATAATATTATTTGCTCTCGCGTATTTATTAATTTCGAGCTCAGAAATAAAATATGCATCAAAGATACTTGTGTAGTACCTATATTTTTCGTGACATAAAATATTTATTTAAAGCCTAACATAAAAATCCAAGCCCCAAAAGAATATGAAAACA